TAATCAACAATACTATTTTGGGGGGCTCCTTACTACAACTCTGTATAGTACAATGGGCCCCAAACCCCTATTCGAATCATTGAGGCCCCTATATTAGCAGTGGTACTGGGAGCCTCTTGAGCCGGCGTTTCTGGGGTCAGTTACGTCAGACTTCTGGAGGCTCTCGTGTTTCTGAGGACCTGGCATAACGGATCCAGATGCTACGAGTAGGCTCCAGTTGTAGCTTTTTCCGATGTCTATGTTCTACTATGTCTGGGTCTGCCCATCTCTCTGACTGCGTATGTATGGTTTCTGTATAATAATGACTGTATTGCTTCTCTTCTCTTTATCTGACTCTAACTTCACCATCAGCTGGGCCAGGAGCCCATCTACGAGACGAAACGCTTTGCCTGCCACCGCAAGGGGAGGGGACCCACCGCGACGGATGTGTGCCATGGCAAATGTTGGGTGAGAGTTCGGATCCGGCAGTCCTGGCTATAACAAGTGCGAGTGCAACCCATCTCCTATTCCTTCCACCGTGCCATCATGAAGACTTCCGTGAACATGTCTCTGAAGCTTGTCAACATGCGAACCGTCACCATTGCGACTCGGTGCAAGCAGAGTCGACAAGGTTTTGCGATGTCTCAGAAACGGATCATCCATCCGAGAAATCCTCACCCTTGAGATGCTTTCAGCCGCTCAGATCCAAAATCCTCCGGTTTTCTTGCCTGCCTCTCCAGCCCATGCACCCCGAACAGAATACACCGAACCTTCGGAGGCAGCGAATCGTCCCAGTACGATAGAGCACACGCTGAAGTCCAGTTCGAATGCGAATTAGAGTCTGTCAAACAGCAAAACCTTAATCCGACCTAAATCAACCCTATCCACAATACAACTCCGACAGCCCTTAAACCCAAAGCGCGAAGAAGCCATGAGCCCTGAATCACAAGCCCTAAAGCCTGGAACTCCTAAACCAGAAAGGGGAACCCTAAAGCATCCTACCCAAACAGCCAGGTTCTGCAGGCAAGGGCCCTGCCCTGGCCAGACAGTGGAGGCTGCGAAATGCCCCGAGGATGACAGCTATCTCTACCAGGACCCCAAACCATCCCAAACCTTGAATTGGGGTCTTTATGGCCTTTAGGGTGCAGGGCTCCGATGTTTTGGGTATTTGTTGGTCTCGGGGTTTTGGTTTGAGGGTGTGGGTTTTGAACCCAGAGAAGTGCGAGGAGGCAGACGGCCATGGGGTCTGCATCGAGGAGGAGGATCTGATCGGCGTGACTCGGTTTCGCCTGATTGCTGTCACCGCTACCGCCCTTACAACAGTCACTGCCAGACCGGGAAACGCACAACCGCCATCCCTGTCACAACTAGCCTAGGACCACAAGTAGAAAATCTGCTAAGAGTATCAGCAGAACGGTTTTGGCTGTTGTTGTTGGAGGCGGTGCTGATGTCAGAGGTCTCGTAGGTGGGCGGTAATTTTCTTCTGGCAGTGGGTGCAGCGGCTTCGGCGTGCTACCAGTAGGGGCTGGGGTAGTGGTAACGAGGATGGTGGCAGTCATGGGGATGGTGGTCGTGCTGATGTGCGACGACTCAGCAGACTTCTGCCACTAGTTCTTACAATACCAGACACTGCAAGTACCAGCACTGCTGCTGCTGCTGCTTCTCCTAAAACTACTACTGCTACGGCTAGTCCTTCTCCTAGTGCTACTGCTACTGCAGCTGCTCCTGCTCCTGCTCCTGCTCCTGCTCCTGCTCCTGCTCCTGCTCCTGCTCCTGCTCCTGCTCCTCCTGCTGCTGCTGCTGCTGCTGCTGCTGCTCCTGCTGCTGCTGCTGCTGCTGCTACTGCTACTTTTACCACGACCACGACAACGACGACTACTCCTACAGCTGCTACGACTACGATTCCTGCTCCTGCTCCCGCTCCCGCTGCTGCTCCTGCTACTGCTCCTGCTCCTGCTCCTGCTGCTGCTGCCGCTATTTTCAGTGGATTTGTTGTTCTGTGTCTCCGGTCGTGCGAGAGTTGTTGTGAACGTTCAGTGGGCGCTGTTTGATGGACGCGTCAATTGCTATACCTGTGATTATGTGTTTTCCAAGATTCGGAGTCCGTTGGTCTTTCCTTTTCTTTGGTATGCATCCGTGCATGTTTGTAGTTCCAGCTGCATCCCAACTCTGAACACCAGCCCTTCTTGTTTATGGGGGAGCCATTGAACCCTTCTCCCCGCCCACCCCACCCTCCACCACCATCTACCCTCGCAAGGCGTGCAGCACCTGCCACCACTGACCAACCAACAGATTCACAAGCCCACCAACGTTGCCCACTAACATGTTGAACTTTCTCCACGCGTCGGTTTATGTGGTTTGGGTTGAGACCAAGACCTTGTTTGAGAAAGTTCAGGAAAACAGGTATTTACGGCGCTTCGGCTTCTGTGAAACATTGTGTTGGGGTCCGTTGTTTATGAACTCCCGCTTTGTTTTTTTTTAAAAAGAGTTGTTTATAAACACGTGGATTATGGGCAAAAGCGTGTGTGTGTGTGTCCATATGCCCGTCTTCCTGTGTATACACTGCGTAGCTCAAAGGTCCAGGCCCAGCGACCATAATAACAAACTGTAGAGGGCTATGAGGATTCGAAAGGGTTGTACATGAAGCCCAAAGGATTTCTGGTAAGGACGGGTGAGCAGGGCATGTGGCGTAGCAGCTCAATTCGACTGCTGCCGGCAGCTGCCGCCATAGGAAAACCCGCAGCAAGTTGGGTAGCACTTACGGCTTTCAATTGTGGGGTCAGAGGCGGCGATAGCGGCGACGAAGTACAATGGAAGAAAAGCGGATAATAGTAGAAAGCATGGTGACCAGAAAAGGAAGGCTTCGAGTTCGTTCCAGCATGTTCCAGCTCCGTTGAGGTTCCTCTGGCTGTCACGGAAGCCACGCATCGCCGTGGTCGCTGCCCAGGAGCTTACATGAATGTATTCGGGTTGCATAGCACGCATCCTGAAAGCTAGGTTTCGAATCACTAATGCTTTTGCCAGTCCTCATGTCCCATTAAAGCAAATGTCTGACATGCCAACTCCTTCTCGCTAGGACCACAGCAATAGGATTCTCAGGGCAGGGGGGTTATTTGATCAGGATTCGGGGCCTAACAATGCTTGCAAGTGTTGATGACGGTTATGACGGATTTCGTTGCCATTGACATCGGTCTCGTTGTCGTCGAATGTGTTGGCATCGTTTTGTTATGCCCTGGGTGTCAGTTGTCAGTAATTCCAAACTGTTTGCAAGTATGGTGCCTGCAATTATAAGTCGGTTTCGGAAGTACAGATTAAAGGAACGTTAAGCCTTAAAACTCCGATATGCGGAAGTCTAAAGCCCGCCCTGCGAACAGCCTCGGCTTGATCGGACAGTTTAATGTAGCGTTGCCCAGAAGTTACTACAGGGGTTGTCTTAACGAATTATCCTGTCAAAATGTTAAAGGTATATACCCGATGGTTTTTTCAAGGAGTTGGTTTTGTCTTAGGTCCCACGGGCATTTGCTTTCGCTTGTACACAACAGCAACCATCCTTGGTGGCATCGTGGTGGAGAACAACCCCCACCCAATACTTGAATAAATGATGGTACTATATATGTCCTCGAGGTCCTTGATATATTCTCAGCACAACCCGCCCCACCCCTCTACTGCATTACTCCTGCTGAAACCAAGCAACGCCAGACCCGGATGTCGAACCCGGGTTCTGAAGGGGACAGGACGGAGATTAGGGCTTAGCTAGTGCACAGGGATCGCACTCCCAAGCCCTCAAACATTCAAAAGACAAGCCGGAAAGCCGACAGCAGGCCGACAGAGAAGTGTTGGAGCCTTCACCGTCTTTGACTCTCCAGGAGTGATGTTCAACACGGGCTGCCAGTGCAAGTCCTGCAAGTAGGCACCGGCTTCTCGAGAGAATTAACGAGTCTTCGAAGTCCAAGTTCGCTCCGTCTTTTGCTGGACGGAGGCTAGACATGTGTGGGTCAACGCAGAGGAGCGAACTTGATTTTTAACACTTTCCAGGTACTTGCCCCTAGATTTGTGAACCTCTGCATCACCGAAACCCAACACCTTGAAGCCGCATTCTCGTGTCGCCGGCACTGCACCGGATGCATGAGGTGGTTGTGGGGAAAGGGCAACAGAGAAATGCCGGTGTGAAGAAGCCGCATGCAGGCCTGGGCTGAAGAAACCCATCGGCAACAGGGGCTGCCCACATGCAGCAATGGGCTGAACCCAACCCATCGTGGGCTCAACAAGCCCATCGGGCAACAGGGGCTGCACAAGCCCCATACAGGGTGAAGAGTTGAAGAACACCCCTGCTGCCAGTGGACGAGTTTTCTGTTGAACTTGATGCGACGATTCGCTTAGTTTTGGTTCTGATCTCTGCTTGGTTTTCGTTTCGCTTTCGCTTGGTTGTTCGAATCATCCACGCCTAGTTTTCCGGTCAGATGTTTCTACTGCGTTTATCTATATGACTGATCGAATGCTGTTGGTTCTGACAGAAGCCATTCCGTTTTGTTGTACCATGTGAACCCGAACTTTTCCAATCGAACGATGCCATGGAAAAACCTGAAATAACATGAATACCTCAACCCAATACCACTTACAGACCGTAACGTATTTCCTTGAGCCGTTGAGCCGTTAACCGTAAACCTGTTGAGCAATAAGTCTTTGCAGGTCAACAGGCAGCTGCGGCGACTTTTGCCGCAACTCGCGCCTCAAGTGACAAAGAATTGCTCGGGGGGACTCGGGTCACCCGGTTCGCGCTCTGTATACCTGTAGCGCCTGTCCGCTGGAGTCGAGGTGTCGGCGTTTCGGAGTTACGTGTTAATTAAGGGTTGCAGCACTCCAGAACACTCTAGACGTGCGCGGCACGGCACCAACATCCATTCCGTTTTGCAGACGAATTTCGAGTAGCTCCAGCTGCTTTGTGATCGCAGATGCGCGCAAATCCTAAACCCGCCGGATGGGGCAAATGTTGAGCAATGTGTTGTAAAACCCGGCTGCAGGGCCTGGCAGCTGGTCTTCACATCACTCAGAGAAATCTGAGGAGGTGCGAGCTTTTGCTCAGGAGTGCAGCTGTTTCATAGCGTTGTTTGTCTCGCCATGTTCACCAAAAACGACAACTCAACAATGATGAATTGCCGGGAGTTTTACGTGGCATGGTCGATGCGCCCTTTTTGCACGATCCATGACAGCATTGTCTTTCGACTGTGTCTCGGTTCCTACGCAGGCGTTTGACCTGATTTTCCGACCGTAGGCTCTTGGAGGACCATCGCGCCAGCTCTAGGGTCGGCATGGCTTTGCGCAGCTGGTTTTCATTCCTGGTGGCTCTCATCAACGTGCCCCTGCTTGCACATAGGCATTCACGGAAAAGACTGACTTTGACAGGCACACAGCAGTGCTGTGACATGCTGTGACAGGTTGCCCACGTTCCTTGCTTGGTCATATGCGCAGGTGAAGGGCATCTTTTCCGCCTCGCGCGGCGAGTCTCACTGTGCAGTCCGTGACGATCAGGGGACCTGCAGGTGGGTGCTGGACATCTCGTATCCGTAGCATGGCCCCTCTTGCTTCTCGTTTTTCCCAGTGCCTCCAGGCAGCCCGAGGATGCCGAAGAGTTGGTAGCACTGCAAGCCAAGATGGCTTCTTGGCCCAAGCCCCAAACCCTGAAAAATCAAACCCAGGCAGCTGGCGGAACCTGCCTGCAACAGTGTGAGTTCCGCTTCGGGGCATCTGATTGCAAGGGGACAGGGTGCACTGCGACTTCGAGTTTGAAGTAGCATCAGGCTCGGCGCAGCAGTTTCTTTGCATCCTGGTATCCTGGTATGATTTGCGCTTGTCTTCATCCATGTTGTGACACCAAGGAGAAGGGTCCACACTGGGGCTGGTGGGGTCGTTTCCATCGTGGCAGTGGACGAGGCTACTACAAGGCTGGGACTCTCTCTACAGATGTGCTCGTCAGTCTGTGAAGCTTGTAAGTGTCGATGTAGGTTCAGACGACAACTGAAGCGCCTGCAGCTTGGCTTGCAAGACAGAAGGAGAGAAGGTGTTCTGCAACGTCGATATCCCTGCGCTTTCCTTGGCTGTGGCACAGCTCCATGCTACGGAGTTTTTCACATGCAATATCCTGGGCTGGTAATTGAGTACAGCATTTTGTCTGGTGTCCACTTTTGGGTTCGAAAGGTGCAGCCGTTCTGGATCTCGGCTGCGGTGGACACCCCATGCAATGAAGCTTGCGGAGAGTTCAACGATGGCTTGGACGTTTTGAGGTGCGGCAAGGAGGAGATGGCTGCCATCAACTCGTCGGAAGCAATTTTGGCTTTGGTTGCCGAGCTGGGCCTCCCGAACATCACGTGCACCGATAACATGGATGATTTGGCGAGCGATTCCCGAGACGGTGGAGGGAGCCCTTTTACCAGGGGAAGTCCAAAGCCGAACGATTGCTACTTTTGGGAGCCAGGCAAGCCTGCAAGCGACATCGACTGCGACGACGTTTCGCAGCTCGGTCGCAGGCCCCTTTGCTACTGTGTTCCTGCATCTTGGCAGCACTCGTCGGGCTCATCGGGGTTCCCATTCGTCTTGCTGCCGAGAAGCCGCATTTGGCTTGGGGTGCCCGACCGAGGCGGAGCCGGCTGCTCGATGGCATCGTTTGCAATTGCAAGGACTCTGTGTTTGAGAGTGTGTGTCTGTGTGGGTGGCATGGAGAGGTTTGCAGTTTTCACCTGTCAGTCCAAGGCCGTTCCTGCTGCTGGGCTGCATTGGCGGTTGGGCATGAGCCCTGAGGCTTCAGACAGGCTACCAAGTATGTAGTGAGATACGAGTCACTAGAGTCACTGGAGCTTCAGCTCATTGACCCACTGTATTGCTTGTGCACGCGTTGACCCGGACCGCTTTTTGTCCTTAGCGTCGTCTAGTCTCCTGGGATCCTTCCGATTCCGCAAGCACGAGTCGAGAGGGGTTTGAGCAGATGAGTGTTTCTGCACCATCTGGTGCTCTCCACAAAATGCTTTCCACTCAGGATCCAACGGGTCCTTGGTTCGCGGCTGATAGAGGCCAGACCTGCAACGACCTTTGCACCTCCAAGAACTACACGGAGTGCGGCAAGGAGGAAATGGCAGCCATCAACTCTTCCCTCGCCTTGGCAGACTTGCATTCCATTCTCAACCTGACCTGCACACCCAAAAAGAACGATCGTAAAAGAAACGGTGCCGGAAGTCCGTTCACCAGGGGTCCTCCGGAAGACAACGACTGCTACTTTTGGGACCCAGCTGAGCCTGCAAGCAACATTGACTGCATTAGTCCAGTTGCTTTTCCGGGTCGAAGGCCCCTTTGCTACTGTAAATAGGTCCGACTAGGTACGACACGCCTTTCCGACTTGAAGATCGCGACATTGATGCTGCCTGCGAAGTAGTGGGCGCATTTTTAATCTCACAGGTTAAATCCTTTTAATGCGACCAGGTCTTGTGACTGACGATCGCGTGAGTCGTCAACTCCTCCAGCCTGGAGCATCCGGCCACACTTTACACGAAAGAGTCAAGTAAAAAGGGTGCTTCTTCACATGAAAAGAAGGGGCGTGTCATTTAGGTCTGCAGGTATACAAAGGGGAAGCCTAGCAAAGTTGTGCGGACGAGCATTTCAGGATGGCCTTTGCGGGAACAGCTTCACTTCGGAATCAAGCAGTCGAGGCAAACCAACACAGTCGCAGCCGCTCCTTTCACGCTGAAGGCGTGGGACGAAGTCGGCGAGAGAACTCCAGCTCCTCCGGCACCGCCGCCTGCACCCAAGGCGTCGGAAGAGGCTTTGGATGTGCAGCTTAGGGTTACGGCTTTTAGCGGTTTCAAGTGCGGAGGTTTCGGAGTTCAGGTAGGTGTGTGTTGCACATGTCGCGTGACATCGGCTAACGGAGCCCCGCGCAATTATCACTCCAGCTGACATTTTCGTACAACATCGTTAAGTAAAATCCACTCCAGAACCTTGAAACCCCGGCATTGCAAGGCACTGCCTCCCACAAGTCATTTTGGAAGAGTTTGGCAATCTTGTTACTGGGTAGCCTAAAGGCTAAAGGTTTCGGACGTTTGCAACTAGCTGCAGGTTTTTTCAAGGGCCGTAGGAGACAGCTAAGTCTTTTGCTGCATTTGGGCTAGGTTCAGTGTTTGTGTAGTCGTGGCCTGACTGCTCATTCTGTCTGTCACTGTCTGTGCGCAGCCACTTCATGTGTGTCAATGTAGCTGCATCCCTCTTATAACCTGGGGTTGGAGATGCTCCGAACATCGAAGCAGCCATTTGCAGGAGCCCCCCAGACCGATCGTCGCATCGGGGCAGTACGAGCCAGGCTTGGCACCAAAGCCGTCTATTTCTCGAAGCACGGTTCGAAAGTCCTACGTCGCTTAGAGCAACTCGAATCTTGACAGTGGTAAGCCCCATGGTCCTGAAGCCTGAGCAGGCAGAATCAAACGACATTGCAAACCTTCAGTTTTAGTTTTGAAGTCTCTTGGGAGTGAGCGCAGGGTTGATGAAGGAGTGGAGGTGGGGAGTACTGATCTACCTGCCTTCGAAGCGGACTGGCTGAGTGGGCTAGTCTAGATTCCATGATTCCATCTTTTGGGATCGAGTTCCTCATGTACGATGGTTTCGGTAACATTTCTCACGCGGCTTTTCTCGGTTTTGATATGGTTTCTTTTCGGAATTACTTTGATCGGAGCTTGCTGATGCAAGAAAGTACTGGAAACAAATTGCTGGCTGACACAACGACGGCTGCCCACTAGCTTGTCTGGACCCCCCCCCCGCTCCCGCCACGCTCATCGAACTCGAGGCCATTCCGTTCCGGTTGCAAGGGACGTTGCGCCTGCAGCTGTGGAGCTCTCCGATGAGCATGAAGTGCTGGGTTTCTTGTCGGGTTGGGGCTTCGTTAGCCCAAGTGCATGGTGGAATTGGTGTCATCTTTTTGTTCGGGCAGGTCGACCACGCAGTCCTTAATTCGTTGCAGATGTTGTTATCAGAACCCCTTTGTGGGACTGCTGATTGCAAGCGAAAACTCAAAGCTGAAACGGGTCAGAATATTCCGGGTCGCTGGGAGAGCCCGAAATCAAGAAAGCGAGCGTTCGACCGTGAACTCAAGAAAGGCCAAGCCTGCAGGGGAATCTGAATGGCAAGTCCCGAGTCTCAAACGTTAGTCTAGGGATGTATTCCGAATCCCCCAGCCTAAAAATAAGTCACATCAGCCCGTTCTCGAGCCCCAGTGGGACCCTTCTAGAAGCCCAGTTGAAACATTGGAAAACCTTTAACAGAAAAGCCGCAACAACAAGCCCATGTGCAGAGGAGCCTTCAGCGGCTTCTCCTCCTCCGGCACCTTCAGCCTTAGGCGGCGTTCTCAGCAGAGGTTGGGTACCTTTAAGGTTGAAGTTTTTGGCAAGCAAGCGCCGGAATCTGCTGAGCACTCAAACAGAGAGAAGCTCTTCAACCACCGGAGAGACAGAATGAGCCAAGACCCCATGCCGCTCAAAGCCTGAACCCCCAGATGTCTTCTGAAGTGTCCCACCAGGTGACAGCATGCCGACACCGCTGGAGCGACGGCAGATGCGGCAGTTGGCCGCCAATTCAGCGCATGACCGAGTTGGTGCTGCTTGTACAGTTTTGATTTAGGGGTTTGGGTTCACGGTTCAGGGATACCAGTTTCTGGATCCGAGGGCCCCGATAAGAACCGAGGGATAGAAGGCCCAAACCGGCGGTGCAGAAATCCGAAGCCATAAGGCGCCATCCTTCAGACCCTTAGGGTACAGACCGGGGCAAGCATTTGCAAGAGCTGCACCCACTGAGTCATCGCCCTCGCCGCGAGAAGCTGTGTCGGAGGGCGCGACACCAGCAGGCACAGGCCGTTGCACAAGCGTTGCTGATTATGTTCTGGATGGTGATAATTATGATGATAACCTGTCATAAACGCCAGCACGGTCGTTTGAATCACCGCATGGTAACACTCCGCAACCCGAGAAGGCGCACGCCCCCAAGTTGCCCCCAAGCCAACTCGGCCCCTTTGTTAGCTCCGCGTGAGTTTGGGAGAATGTTAGGTGGTGTTCCCAAAGCTGCGTTTGCTCAGAACACAGCGATTAGAAGTTTCAGTAGTGCAAGGAGTGGTATGTCTTCACCACAGGAAGAACTCATTGTAATCAACATCGTTTTGTAATGCCCTCGATGATCATGATCATTGCTGCATTGTTGCTTTATTCCAGCACTACAACTCGCTGTACCTTATTCTTGATATGATGAATCTGTTTTGGTAGATAGGTTTGCAAGAAGGTTTTGCCGATCGTATGATACAAAGCTGTACAGTACCATCCAGTTTTGAGAAGTGTCAGTTTCCTTTCTTCGTGAAAACAGAACTCCAGTGCTAGAGTGCTAGGATGAAATCGGGTTTGTTGAAAGCCCTACTATATAGTTCTGGCTAATTAGTGACATAATCGTGCCCCCTTCTGGTCCCCACATAGTTTCACTATCATAGACCGCGGCACCGTATTCAAATCATTAAGGCTCCCATATTTCTGTATCGTCAGAGTGCCAATTCCTCCTCGTAGGCAGCGCACCCGCGACGCCGTGGCCTCGGCTGCAGCTCCGAAAGCCAGGAACCGGTATGTTTGTCTTAATGGTAGGTGGCAGGCTTCAAAACTATGGTCTGTTGTAGGCGCTTGGAGTTTAGTTAGCAACTCAAAGGAGGAGCATCCTGAGCATAAGAACCCCAGCAGAAGGACGGCGAGTTTACAGTCAAGCTACAGACACAGCTTCTGCTGCGGTAGGATCAAAGTTCGTCACACTCCGTATGTCGCTCTTGAACACGGTGCAAACCCTTTTTCCCCTTAGACTCCTGCACCAAGTCCTCCGTCCGGAACATTATAGTGGCGTTTTTCTTTATACCAGGGGACTAATTCCTCTGCTGGCCAGGCCACGTAAAATGCACTTGTAAGTACTCCGCATCCTCCGCAAGATGGTGTAGCCGAGTGCGACGAAATATGAATCCTGGTGATGCTCACAGAAAGGTTTTTCCGACTGAACAATCTGTCTCTGCAGACCTCTCGTGCGACTCATACATATGTATATATATATATATATGTAGTTACATGCATACATAAATACATACATGCATGCTATATCGACCGCGTTTCGCGAGTTTCACAAACTGCAATTTGGTCGACAATCGGTCCCCAAATTCACGATGCTCACGGAAAGGCTTCCGACTGAAAAATCTGTCTGTACACACCCCTCATGCGATTTATATATATATATATACATATATATATATATATATAGATAAACGGCGGTAGGATGAAAGTTTGTCGCACTCTGTATGTCGCTCTTGAACACGGTGCAAACCCCTTTTCCCCCTAGACTCCTGCACCAAGTCCTCCGTTCGGAACATTATGGTGTTTTTCCAGCGGATTAATTCCTCCGCCGGCCAGGCCACGTAAAATGCACTTACAAGTAATCCGCGTTCTCCGCAAGATGGTGTAGCCAAGTGCAACGAAGCATTACTCCTGCTGATGTAGACTTCCCTACCTGAGCTCATAGAACCCGACATCTTAACACCCTAAAGCCTTAAACGGTCAAACCTCGCGAATCCCACAGCTCCGGACTTGGATGTCGCTGTAGGTCTGAACGGTCTGAACGTCATCCGAAGCACCAGTGCTAAAGATGCGTTGCGTTCGTCAATCATGATATGGCCTTCGACCAAGAGCCATCCACCAAGCTTGGTCCAGGACCTAAGCCGGATTAGCTCGCAACTCTGCACTTTAATCTCGAAGCCGTAATCTTTCAAAACGCTCAGCTTGGATCTGACGGACGACTTACTCTCATGGTGGAAGAAAAGGCTGCCAAATTTAGGTTCATGGGTGGGGGCTCGGGTTGTGAAAGGTGTTCGGAGTCGCTGTCGGGATGCCGACCCGAAAGCGTGACTGTGAGCCTGCCTTTTTCGCCGCATCGATTTACCTGCGAACTCGGCTCTTGCTGTTCAGCCCTAAACCCTCAGATTCTCAAAGCACCCGAAAACCCTCAATGACTCCAGGAGTCTACTGACCCTTTCCGTTGACGCATTGAGCTTCAGAGCTGAGGTTTTAGGAGTTAGTAGTTGTTGGAGCCTCGCCGTCATCTTCAGTGGCCGAGGTCCTGAGATGCCGTTCCAGGGGCATGATCAGATCATCATTCTGTGCACAGTCACAAAATCTCCACAGTCGGACTGCTTGCAACGGCAGCAACCATTCTGGTGGTCAAACCGGCAGAGAGAGAGCATGACCCCCAAGAGACCGAATGAGAATCGCGGGCAGTTCCTGACAAAAGCAAAGCAAGGTGCTTGGCTGCAACAGAGCGGCTTCGGGACCGATTGAAGAAGCGGGCAGCTCAGACATTGGTCCAACGGAGAGTTAACTCTCCCATCCACACCACCACCGTCGCAGTGTGCAATCAGCCGACCAATCTGTCTGTCTATCAAGGAATCAAGGCAGCAACCAGTATTCATAGCCATCATCATTAGTCATGAGTTATCATGATAGCCCTGTCACAAGTCTCACGCAGAATGTCGTGTAGCTAAAGGCTTGGGCTTTAGCGATGCTGCTGTCTTTTTGTTTCTTCCTGATTCGGTTCTTTCTTGTTGGGATGTGGGATGTTGTTCTGATTTTTTATGCGTTTGTCTGCGGTTTGCTGTGTTTGGCAGTGTTATCCCCATGTTAATTCGCCATTAAGAACGTCGCCAGGTATTCGGCCCCGTTGCTTCGGATCTTTTAAGGAGACTGCATGGCCCGAGGTTTTGAGTACGGGTGCTTTCAGGCTCTTGACTCCCGTGCCATGTTTCCATCAGAAAAGCTCCCTTCCGACCTCTCCTACTCCCTCACCTCCACAGGCGCGGAAAGTGTAAAGCCCGGAAAGACAGCTTGCAGTTTCTTGCACTGTCAGCGTGATGATTCAGTGATAGCCCTCGTCAGCTCCTGGTTGTGCCCCACTCCCAAACCAAGCCCTATACCCTTTAGATACCCCAAACCCTGGTTGTGAAAAGTCAGACCCCGCACCCAAGGTTGCTGTCACTCTTCGTAAAGCACCTGCTCCTCCAAGCCGGAAGCTGCCTCCTCTTGGCCCTTCCTGGCCTTTGAGACCTTTGAACGCTACAGCAGAATTCCTTGAGACCTTTAAGCCCTGAGCCCAAGAGGGCTCAGAGATTATGCAACCATAGGACTCGAGGGCTTGGAGCTTCGGGGCTTCTGAATTTCATGGTCGAGGTTCTATGGGTTTCGGGGTGAGCATTGTAACATCCCCGAAGCTGCCACAAAAAGAGGGCCTTAGCAACCCTTGCCAAAGCCTGACCTTCTCCTCTAGGCGCGAGGGATCAGGAAGGACTGGCGAAAGGAGCCGACGACACGCAGGGCTGAGCATTGGAGCTAATGGGGTTTGGGCTTAGACATTGAGTATGAGGTCGGGCGTTTTGGGGCTTGATTCCGTGGTGGGGATCTAGAGCTGAATAGCCTTTTTGATGTCAGACACCGAAGTTCATGGCTCTCAATCTGAAAACCAGGCTACCAGCTTGGCCGAAGCCCGACCATCCCACGCCCGGATTTGGACGATGGCTGCTGTCTTAAAGTGAGACCATTGTTTCCTATATCGGACGGTTGAAGCCGAACCACAACAATTGCTGCCCAAAGTCCCACACCTGAACTACACCCGAAGCAGGACTCGTTCAGTACCCGACGCTTCGTCGATGGTAAACTGGCAGGACATCTCTTGTAAAAAGCAGAGTGCAGCAGCTAGGTGCTATAGAGGGCAGCGGTTCAGAGTAAGTCTCAACCTGCAAATGCGAAGAGTCACGGTGACTCTAGTCCGAGGTTCACTCACTATCGGCAGGAAGGGTCAGGAACTGTAAGGGGCTGTTGGGATTGATAGGGCTATCATTAAAATCCTGTCTGCGTCCGTGCACACGGTGGGAAGGAGTGGGGGGGGCGTTGGTGTCATTTCGCGCCGACAAAAGGGAAATGGACAGGACTCGGGAAGGACCGTTGGTACCGACGGTTTGAGTTTGTCCGCGGACGGGAGTGCAGCTGCAGACAGCGGCCACGACAAATGTAACCACGTCAGCAACAGTCGTGATGGTGCGACTGAGTATGATATTGCTGGGCGACAGCACACAACCCAAACACCGCATGACTCAATCGACTCTCAAGTCCTGGCGTGTTGTCCTCCCGTCTTGTTGTGCTTTAGATGCTCACTCCCGAGCACTGTCTGTTGTGCAACCCGTTTGATGCGATGGCGGTGGGTGCATCGCAGCGTTGGGCGAGCTGCGCGCTTGGAATGTGTCGAAGTCTTCGAGCAGGATTGGGATTGGAAAGCACGGTGGTACTCCGTTTGTACTTCAGGCTGATTTCTCATCCCGCAAGTGGAGACACGCGAGAGACTCCAAACTTAGTCGAGCCGATCAAGACCGGCTCATGTGGAGAATGACCTGTCGCAGTATTCATGACAGAAGGATCAAACCGCAACCCAGTGTTTCAGACGTTGCAGAGGTTGCACAACTTCGACAGTGCCGAGGGGGGGAATTTCGGCCACACGTTTTTTCGCTGTCAGGATCACTGTGCAGAGTTCGCAGATAATGGGGCATCCAGTCTGAGCTTCGGACAAGTTGCTTAGCCCGTTGCTGTCCTAGTCCTAATTACCTGGACCTCTCTCTTACAGGGTTCAGGTAGATCCAGACAACCCCCAGGAACTTAACATGCTGGCCTTGGTGATGAACCGTAGTTCTTCTTTCACCTGCAGCACGTATAATCTATACGTTACTTGCACTGCATCCTAATCTCACATTTGGGCCAGCCCTGATCCTTGAACCCGGAACTATAAATCTTGTTCCGTGATCCCTCAGTTATCCCCTGGCTTCCCTAGCTCCACTCCTGACGCACCAAAGATTCCCTAGAGGAGCGTATCGAGCTCCGGCACAAGGAGGCTGAGGCCTTTTTGGAACATGGGGGGTTCACGGCATCCCAAGGAGGGCCTCCACCATAAGGGTCCGATACCTGGGATGTATGGGCACTTCAGAAATGTCTACTTCCGCCACTCTTATTGGCAATACCAGTACCACTACCAGCAGCACATCCGCCACTGCCACTAACAGAACGGCGACGGCTTCAATCATGCAGTCTAGTAGTTAGAGTCTAGTGCTCGTTCCTCACCGTCCCCTCGCATGTTCGATGTTGATATCTGTCATTTTTTCTCTTGTAGTCCCAAATCTCCAAACCCCCGCCCCTTTTGGTCCTACCGACCCACCCGAGCAGGAGCAGCAGGTCCACGAAAGAGAGGAGAAGCAGCGGACTGCAGAGAGGACCGTGCAACAGGCTTTGGGAATTTCAGCGTCGGTTTACAGGGTCTTGCGGGCTCAGGTTTTGTATGACTTGCTGTTCGGGGCTTCGACGGGATGTCCATCCCCAAACTATCCCGCAGAGCGTGCCTGGAGTGGCCACTTATTTTGGTTGGACTGCATCCGGTCCCAGTGGTGGCTCGAGCACCAAATTCTCAAGCCCCATACACATGCCTGAAAGCCCCAAACCTCAAACGGGAGTCCCGACTTGCTGGGTGGCTACGAATTCAGCATGGCCAAGCAAGTTGTACCACAGACAGACGTTAAGTGGGATTCTTCCAGACGGAACCTTGCTAAGATTGAGAAGGGATCACCAAAATTCTGACAGTCTTGCATGAAATGCGGAAGACCAGAAACGAACATATGCAGAGTCCAGAGTTTAATGCTGTGTTTCGATGCAGACATGTCATCGGTACCACCGCCGCAAACTTCAGGCGGCTGGTCATCGCTGCTGCAGCCGGCTAGTTTCCGTGAGCATGTGTGTGTGTGTGTGAACATAGAATCGCAAAGCCATATCGCCTCACAATCTCTACATCCAGGAGCACCAAGCGCAACGATGCCCTCAAACGTGTCATGGAGCGCACCTGGGATGCAATGAGCCGACTGCCGCGAGTGCTTTAGAAAAAAAGTGGGTTCTGGATTTGATCGTCCCACATCTTTGCTCCACAACCCCGAGTCTTACTAATGCAAGAGATCTAATGCAAATACTGTGCCGTTGCAGGAATGCAAACGAAGGCCCCGAGAGCCCAAACTCGCACCGAGACTGCCTCCAGCTCGCGCCGTCTTTCAGAAACAGCAGAACTGAACCGGGGAACCCCCAAACCCATGCTAAGCCCACCTTGAATCCACCGACTGAGCTGTAAAATGCAGGCCATGAGCAGTAAACCCAAGTCCGAGCGCTTTCGCCGAGGCCGCGAACAGCGCCAAGCAGATGCCGTGACACTGGGCTCCGAGGCTTGCGAAGAATGGACAGCCTGGCAGACTGGTTAATACTAGGAACAGCCTGCTTCTATGCGAGCGGCCGAGCGGTGAGAGTTTAAGTCGCCCTTTCTTCCTTCGGACTTGAGTCTCCAAAGAGCTTCAGCTTCGGTCTACGAATGATGACCCGAAGGCGTAGAGTGCCGCACTATAGATTCCTGCTTTCCCAATCTGAAACTCAAAGGCTCCTCGATCAAGGGCCAGGGGCATTTAGCGTTTAGTAGGAGGTTTAGGACTTGGCATTTAAGCGCAGGGCCTGGGGAACTGTCAGATTTTTTTGACAAGCCCAAACTCGAACGCAGAAGCGCGAATAAGATACCTGTCAACCCACAATCCCACGCCGTCAACCCGAAATCGTAGGCCCTTGCCACCTGTTGCCGGTGCCCTCCGAAGGAGTAGCGGCGCAGCTGTACATGGCATTTCGGCCGCCGGCTCAGCCCCTTTGGGCTCGGAATGAGCTTCGGGTCCCAGCAGCTGAGGGCCTACCGAGCGGCAGACGAAGTCCCTGGTGCTGTGATGTTTTATTCGTAGACGTGGGGGTAGGGAGTTCTGCGGGTGCAGCTTTTGGCTTGCTTTTACCTTTCAGGGCTGACCATGCGTGGATCACATGTTGCCGGTTCTTCTGAGGTCGCTCGGGTTTGGGGTCGGAATACTGGGAGTTTCTGGGTGTCTAGTCCGGTGAAGTCCATTTGAGGATGGAGCAGTCTCTTGGTCTCAGCTTCTGATGTTGTACAAGGGCAGGGTGCTTGCTGGGGCTTGCGGTGTCTACTGTGGCTTTTGCGACTGCCAGGACTGAGGCTCGGCCTGGGCTTATAATAGTACTTTTTTAAAAACTAGACGCTGTGAGGTAGAGTGCTTTGGGATCTTTTCAGATTTCAGACCAGCCCTTTTGGTTTCTGCATTGAGGTTCTTAGTGTCCCCTAGGGTGAGCCGTTCTTCCCCTTTCTGGGGTTGCGCGCGGAGCACCTGAACGAAGGGTCGTGCGTCGGGATTTCAAGCTCGGAAGTTCAGAGCGTTCGATTTTGTGGGGGTTCTGGGCTTCGCGGGATCCTCGCATGCCTAAGCCAGATTTACAATGCACGCAGTCATGCACGAACTCATTGCCGATACATGCGAGCCACGGCAGCTTTCGGCCCACAGCCCTTTGCCTGGCCACTGGTTTCGTGAAGCCGGGGAGGTGCGGGGTGGCACAGGGGTCGGTCCTGTAGCGTGTGCTTTGACCTGCCTTAGGCTTGGGCTTAGCCTCCTTTCCTTAAGACTTTATCACACTGATGTAATTTTCTCTATAGTTGCTTATAGGAAGCGAACCCACGACAAGTAGGTGGAGCTACCGGATGTTCAATCGGCAGCGGGAGATTGAGTTGGAGAGTTTCGTCGCGTCAAGCCTGAAGAGTTTTGGAAGCCAGGGACTTTGGGGCTTTGCACCTTTGGGCATTTGTGGTGTGTGGCGGGACATGTAAGCACATAAAGGTGTGGTGCCCTTGGAGCAAAAAGCCAACCCTTCAAGTCGAGCTCAGACTTGGCCACAGGGATCCTCCCAATCCTACTATACGATCCCGGGCCTCATGTAGCTCTCTGAAGATGCCCCCTTTTGATTTTGACGGACCGAGGATCCCTCTTGACTCAGTAACAATGGACTTTGCTACTATCGCGATCCCTCTTATCATCCTAACTAAGGCCCCAACTGTTGGCACATGAAGCATTTCGGGTTGTTGCCACGCTTGTGGTTTACGCAAATCCATGGAACTTCGCGTTTGACAGTCGTCAAACAATGCTGACTTTCATTTAGGCTAATGCTACATCTCGCACCCATGTCCCAGGTGCTGAATCCCTGAACCCTCAACTGTAGACCCTGAACCCTCAGTCAGAGTCTTTTGAAGCGCAACCACCCAGAAACAATCGCAAGTAGCCAGGCCAAGCTGTGCCCAAGTCTTGCTACAATGCCTAAAGGCGCGAATCCCGCCAATATCCTAATTATATTGGCCCTACCTTGATATTGGGGTCTGCATCCTTGAGGCGAATCCATCAACCCCTTTGCCTAGCTGCCTAGCTAGATCCTTCACCCTCTCGAAAGCTTTCTTTTGATAGCGGCCAGGGTTTTCTGGCCCATGTACTACTCACGGACCTGGCTGCTGGCGCTGCAGGCGGTGTTGCCGTGCGCGCAATGGCAGCTTGGCAGAAAATATGGGGCATTGAGGCTTGAGGGTTCAGGGTTGACAGGCTTGGGACTCGTACATCCCAAACCCTGTAGAGCCTTGAACACTGAGCCGCAAACTGGAACCCGTATAGGTGCTTTTTATCGGGGGTTTGGGGCCCAGGGCGAGGGGCAAATTAGGTTTCTGATTTACTTTTTGTTGGGAGGGAAAGGAGGGGGGATAGTGGTTGAGAGGCATGCGACGTGTGGAGGTGCTTCAGCAGTAGGCCTTGGCTGAGGAATCCTCGCAACAGACGAAAACCCTCGAAATCGGTTTAGGCTATCTATGACCCATTTTCGAAGACTTGAACTCCAAGCCCTTAGACCTTCGCCAGCCAGTATTCACATAGTATGTAGACTGGCGCCCGCTCGAGCCGTGCACCAAGAGCCAAGGCTAGCTCCGGAAGGTCTCGGCTGGCAGAAGTCGCTTTGGCATGGCTTGCAGAAAACCCATTTCGTAAGAAATATGTACTTTTGAATCACACCAAGGATCCTCTGTAGATTAAGGTTTGCTCTTAGCTAAGGTGCTTCAAAGTCTCTCCGGTGCAGCCTCGGGACCTTCATAGGGACTAAGGCCTATCCAGAGTGTGGCGCGGTTCAGGGTCATTCATTTTGCCAGAGGGACTCCTTCGGTTTATTCACTGGTCGAGAAGGGCAACCCTGCCGACAAACGGACAAGCCAGGATGGACAGCGAGCCTCCATGGAAGCCCCACACAGGGAGCTCCTTGGGCTGGATCGCGGAATGCAGGGCCAGGGATGTCGAGGGAGCATCTTTGGAGTGTTCGCAATTGCTAAATTTTGTCTGTCTCTGCATCAGCATGACGGCGGGGGTTTAGGTTTCAAGGGCCCGAAAGGCGTCTTTTCTTGTAGCCCTAAAGTCTCCAGAGCCCATGTTCCGTCACTTGCGGCTGCATGGAGCCTGTGCGAGACTCGACAAATCCCAGTCTGAGCATCACTTCATGCCTTTGGAAACAAAGACTTCGAATTCCCCTTCTCACCAGGTCGTATAGTGCCCGTCCTTCGTCGCCAAAGCTGTCCAGCGAGATCTAGCGATTATCATGAGCATCAGTTGACCTGTGGGAGCCTTCATTGAGTCATGCCACGATTGCAGGTAAATCCCACCAAAAAACACTCGTCATGAGTCGGGGTGCTTAGCAAGGCGGCGATGTGATGCCGAGACCACGGAGAAGTTCATGCTTTTGCAGATTTCAGGTTTAGCTGAATAGTTTCCTTTCCAGACAAGTCTGATGCCGAGTTGGCCTGGGCTTCGAAGGCTGCGAGCTGAAGTCTTAAACCCTGGATCTCACAGCTCAGCTCCCGAATAAAGAACCCCTTAAGTCCGAAACTACGGTGTCTTGACTCCAAGACACCGCTCCTCCTCACCCTCTGAGGCATCGCAGCCCCCTTGTCTGATGGCAGCATGCTATTGCAGCTCGGTTGCGCTTGTGGGTAGAGTCTAGACCTGTCTGTACCCAATCATGTTCAATAGTATTGTACTATAAGCGTCAAGATCGAAAGATTTGAAATCACAACCAGCGCGGGTGTTTTGCGTACCTTCTTCTTGGCAGCGATGTAGCAATTTGCACTACAAGTTGCCAAGGTTCCAGCTGAGGTATCCGCGCTCAACGACGCATAAGCCTCGAAGTACATAGGGTTCAGATCGCCTGGCCTTGTGCATCTTATCGACCGCGGGTCTGAGTACTTCAGGTTCTTAGCCCCAGAGTCTGGACTGCAAATTCGAATCTGATCTCATGGCATAATTTGTAATATCTGGCTCCTAAGCCCTTGCCAGTCAGGATCGGTGGGCAGGCAGGAAGGCCTGGCGTTTCCTTGGAACGTGTTGCCACATGATTGTGGGGGTTGAGGTTTCCGGTTTATCTCTGATCATAGCGGGTGGATGCGGTTGCACTTACATGTTGTCTGCCGGTAGTTGGACTGCTCACTTTTGGGGAGCTCTGGTGTGATGCTGTGATGTTGAAGTTAGTGATGGTTTGGAATGGTTTGGAATATCCACTCTACATGGAGATTCACGATATCCAGGTTCGGCTGGAAGCTCAGGGTCTTCTTCATGCTCGGGCATGTGCCATCTGAAACATCAGAGAGTGACGACATCCTTCGTTTTGGACCTGCAGTGTCAACATAGACATGATTTCATGTCGTGTTTCTACCTATGCCTTTGCACCGCGACAGACTAACCAAACGACATGCATCGCGAGCTAGACATGTTTGAGGTGGATCAATAGAAAGCTAGTCACGCTAGTCGATATAGGCTCCTGGGAACGGCATGGACTGCATTTTTGTTGGACCAGTGCACCCACCACCAAATCACCACCCCGGCCTGGGAAGCAGCTGTTTAAGGTCCCGGTCCGTGTTGAAACAACCACTTCAGGGAACCCTCGGTGTAGAACCCTCCCCTATGGCCGAAGATCTTCAACTCTGAACCATCTCTGCCAGGGAAAATCAACCTCCTAAGCCCGCGACTGGTGGCCAGGCACGGTGGCGGCCATTTCGATTGCTTTAACTGCACCAGTGACGTGTGGCAATTTAAGCAGCCTGGGCATGAAGTTTATAGAGGTTTGGGCTTCGGCTTGGGCTTATTGTTCGTGTAACGATTTTTGCGATTTTGGGGTTGTGCTCTTTGAGGCCTCGGAAGCTGTCACTGAGCACACCAAAGGACCCAAAGGCTTTCGTCTTGAGACCTTGTGGCGGGCGCTTTTCTGTTGGCTTCCGGCTCCAGGCGTTCAGGGACTCCTCCAACTCGAAACCTCAAGCTCTTCAAGCACTGGTGCTGTTGCTGTAAACGTGATGCTCGTTATCCATGCCGGCGTTCTTTTGTTTTGTTCGGCAGCGACATGAACAACCCACGCCCAGCCTTGCGGAGGCATCAGAAGGCCGAGTGGATTGACCACTCCAAGGACAGTGGGTTTGGGTTTTGATATGGGGATTTAGCAGAACAGGGCTTGCCTTTGGGGCTTCAGGGGTTGGACCTGAACCCTCAACTTTCGAGCCCCTTCCTCCCGAAATCCTTGCGTGGACAGTTAGTGTGCCTTCTGACAAACGATGTTGAGAATTCTGAAGTCTTTGTACCTTAAGCCCGATGAGCCTAGCAGGCAGCTGAGCATGTGGAGGCAAACTGATGCCTAGAGATCGCTGTCCGCGTGTTTTTGGAAGGTACCTCCGCGTTTGCTTGGGGCTTTGAAGGGCTGCTGTAGCTGATTAAGATGCCTGAAGCTAGTGAAGCTGCAATGTTCGTGCTCTAACCCTGTAACTTTAAGGCCGTAGCTGCGGCTCAGCCCTTGATGCACTTTGACCCTCGGTTCCGGGAAGGGGCTGAGATCCGAGCCTCAATCGTTGGATGTTGGATCAGACGTCGGAGGTCCCATGAATGGGTGTCGTCCGATTCGGGATTCAAGTACTGCTCCGTTATTAAGTCCCGTATGCTACGATATTAACTAGAGCTTGCATGATGGAATGCGTACTACTAATTCCTAGCACCATCCTGCAGCTGAGAGGATGTCCCGTGGGATCCACGATGGGGCCACTCCGTTGTCACTCAGGCAGGTTGTTGAAACACTTTGTTGAAATTTGTTGAAGCCCCTGTCCTATCGATGTCTGTGGGTCATGGTAGGTTCTCTAGGGTCCATGAGGTCTGAGCGTAAGCGACCCAGGCCCTCGACAACCGACCAAATCAATGTAAATTCGACCCTGTGTTACATCGGAATTTCGGAGAGTGGTGTCTGCGGTCCGAGAGTATGGGAAGGCGGGGTGGAGGGGCTATTTACATGGAGCTGAGATAGTGTCATGTACTCATGATACAGACAGAATGATAAGTACGATGTGGCAAATAATTAAAGTCCTAGCAACTCATTCATCATAGTAAAATGAGAGAGAGAGAGAGTGAGTCGTCGAAAACTATTCCGAGTGCTTAGAACACTACGGTTGTCAGGTTTGGGGAGTTGTGGAATGAGATGCGACAGCAACGGGGCGAATGGTCAGAGATAATAGTCCAGCATAGTGTCAACATTCCAAGCCGGAAGCGCAATGACCCGACAGATCTCTAGACTCTGGACGCTACACCACAACCTGGTACTTTCAAGGGCCTATCTCCAAATCCAGAGGCATGGCGAACCGGTCTGAAACCTTAAGCCTTAACGGAGTCTTTGTCCGTTGGTGGAAGCTGTGCATCCGGGCATCCCAGAAAGTGCCAGCACAATTGAAGGAAGTAGCAGCCTTGTGCTTCAGGCTTGGGGATTCTCTGTCGTTGACAATTGGACCAGGGTTAGGGATTTCTTCTTGCAGTGGCTGTGGCTCAAAATCTTGGGGCTTGCCACAGGCATTGGGCGGCCCCGTGCGATCCGCAGTAAGAGCAGCTGGTTTTTGCGACAGACGTTTGTCGCAGATCTGGTGAACCAAGGGTGGGCGAGGGCCCCCAAGACAAGCCGGATTTGATTTTTGGGGCTATGCCATGCTATGCCATGCCCTTTGCTACTGGAGTTGTGTTGCGCATTAATCAGATTGACAACGAACTGTGTGATAACCCAGCGGGCCACTAAAGCCACCAGGGATTTTCCAGGCTGACGACACGGTTTGGCTCTTCTTCGGCTGCTGCGAGAAAGGCCTCGGCAGACACACGTTCGCAGGGGGTCGCCCAAACTGAAAATCCTTTCCATTTAGTCGTATCCCGGTTCTTGCCCTGGGCAGCTCCAGCATGGATTCGTGTTGCAAAGAAGCATGGGGGCCTCTTGTACTTGTTGCTGTTATCCTTACGAGCCTGTCATTGCAAATCTATAAAAGCCAAGATGATTCCTGGCACATTTTGTTGCGGGAAACCCGGAATGCGGATGACGAAATCCCGAAACACCAAATGGACTCAGCTGCAGACCCCAGAGCAAACAAAAGCTGCTCTGCATTTCATCGAGTGCCGTCACAATCGCGGAGACTATCTCTGACAGGGACACAAGCACGCACACTGACTAAAGCATCGACCAGAAAAACCACACCCACCACCATGGGCGCTTTCTCCAAAATCGGGCTTCGCGCGTTCCTCGACATTGGGTACAAATCGCGCTTGCAGCCCCCCCAGCATAAATCTAGGCACGAAGGAGAAATTAATATAAGTACCCCGCTCCAGATCACTCTCGACGTTGGTTTAAATAGCTCATGCATGATTCATACTAGCAGCTACAGTTACTAGAATTACTGGATTGCATCAGTAATGACAGAGGAAGATGATACAGGTAGTGCAGAAGTCTCATCAGCTCGACGCGTACTGCTTCCATCGTAGTTACGACTAGTCACTAGTCTTTCTGTAATGCCAATATTTCATGAGCGCCAGTACCATAATTCCGACCTGGCTCTTAGTCTTGTTGTCCGATGCTGTGCAGGGAAGCCCACAGTGATGTTGCGTGACGTTTGGAGCTTTAACCCAATGCCTCGCCCTCAGTGGCTTGAAGTTCAGGTTCTTAGGGCCGCAGTGATCCCGTGATTAGTTGAGTTCAGGGATTGGGGTCACTCTATGAGAACATCAGCAGTGCAAAGAGGAGCATTCCTCTTCGTAGTAGTCCAGTCTTGCGATGGCAGGGCCTTGCAGTTGCCTCCCAGGAAAGGTTCGGCCTGGAGGAAGATTGAGTCGCCGCCTCCCTTCGAAGGGATTCAGGCGACATCTGCAGCCCTAGCAGGCTCCGGAAGGGATCTGGGGTGCTTCGCCTTAGCGCTTAAAGGCCAAGGTCGTAAGGTAATTGGTTGTGTTTAGGAATGTTTAGGACATTTTGAGCAAACAATTTGGGTCGCATTCCGCTATTTGCTTCAGGAATTCGGGTGGGACCCGCCGCCACTGCCTGCAAGATATTCAGAAGGCAAGTTCCGCAAGGACCAGAAGAGTAGGTCCCAGAAGCCAGAGGGATGTATTGGTATTAGGAAACCTCAACTCATGGATGGCCCCATCTTCAGCAAGTTTGAACGATCATGTTGGAAGAAGAGCCCGCTTCAAGGTCCAAAGCCCTAAACTGTAGTTTCAGAACCCAAACCCTAAGCTCAAGCAAGATTTGATGACCAGCCTCAGTCTCCAGACCCTCCTGAAAAAGACTCTCTAAGCAGCCCTTGACGTTGTCCGCGAAGCAATTTGCCTCCGGCCTGAAATGAACCCTTCAGACCTTCGCGGCAGTCACAAGCTTAGGCTGAAGGTGTTTCAATTGAGTTTAAGGTGTATATGGCTTTGTAGCAGGATTTCGAGGATTGGAGTCTTGGGGCAGAGGGTTCGATCCTTCGGAACGATGTCCGCCTTACTTGTAGCTTCTACCACATGCGCTAAATGCCTTTGCGAGCTGCTTCACCGGAGGAACGCTAGTCTTTCCAGAGGTGGTTGCATGCAAGCACAGGCTTCCAGGTTTGAGTTGGAAGCTCTTAAGGTCTCGGCTGCGGACTGCGGGGTTCCCTTTGTAGGCTCCGACGTCTGGTTCGTCGGCGGCTGGTCGCAGCAACGTGGCACGCTGTCGCAGGTGGCTCCGGGTGTGTTGGCCTTGCGGCTGCTTCTGAGCAGGTCGAGATGCTCTGAAACAACCAGTAGCTGCAGATGAACAGACACAGATAGAGAACTGGCAGGCCACGGAAATCGAGGTGACATTGTGGTTTCACTTTGCCTTGCAGGGCTTATAGATCTGGGGATCGGGGCGTGCAGTAAAGGTGGGATGAGAAGCGGAAAGCATTGTACTTTGATGGGCTCGTTGTTGGAGAGTTCTGCACGTAAGTCTTTAGACAAGGGGTGTTTGTTGCAGGCAAAGAAGGTGGGGCGGGCACTTATCTTTAAACTTGATGGGGCCATGGGCACCATGACAAGAGCCACAAATCTCTAGCAGAAACTACAGGCCACATCCTGAATCGTGAGTCCTGGGGAGGTGGTGGTCTTCAACCTGGAGACGCATCTGGGCTGTGCTTCGGGGGTTCTGGTAGCTTTCGGGTCGATTATTGGCCGACGGAGATTTTCGTCTCGGCAAGGGGCTCTCGGGTGTTGGCTTCCGCACCTCTGGGGCTGGTGGTTCAGAACCCTCACCGAAGCCCTGCGAAGTAAGTTCTCATTCCCCGAATTTCTAGTCACCTTAGTCATAATCAAGTTGAGACTGTTCTGAGCAGCTGGTGTAGTTCAGTGGAGGTCGTACTAGTCGTCATAGTCGTGGTGGTAGCCGTAGTCGTAGTCGTAGTAGTAATAATAGTAATATACAAATAGTAGTAGTCGTCGTAGTAGTAGTAGTAGTAGTAGTAGTAGTAGTAGTGCTATTTGCCCTATTTGCTGCGTGCTTCCTGAAACCAGCGTCNNCATGGGGTTTAGCTAGTTCTGATGTGTAATGTTCCCCGCTCCGCTGATGCGTATTCTCCCAAGAACCAGCGTCTGCCGACATTGATGTGTATCACCAGCTGATGTGAGATAACCCCAACGCTTGTAGTACCAGTAGTACTAGTACTACTAGTACTACTAACTAGTAGTAGTGGCAGTTGTAGTAGTAGTAGTAGTAGTAGTAGTAGTACTACTACTACTACTAGTAGTACTGGTAGTACTAGTAGTACTAGTAGTACTAGAAGTACTAGTAGCACTAGTAGCACTAGTAGTACTAGTAGTACTAGTAGTCCTTTTAGTAGTAGTAGTAGTAGTAGTAGTAGTAGTAGTCGTAGTAGTAGTAGTAGTAGTAGTAGTAGCAGCAGCAGCCGTAGCAGTAGTAGTAGCGATAGTAGCGGTAGTAGCGGTAGCAGCGGTAGCAGCGGTAGCAGCGGTAGCAGCGGTAGCAGCAGTAGCAGCAGCAGGAGCAGCAGGAGTAGCAGTAGCGGTAGCGGTAGCGGTAGCGG